TCCGATTGGGCGACACCCATTGTGCCAGTGTTAAAGAAGGATGGTTCTATAAGAATTTGTGGAGATTATAAAACTACACTGAATAAGCAAATAGAGCTAAATAGGTACCCTATACCTAACATTGAGGAAATTTCTTTGAATTTGGCAGGAGGAGACAAATTCACTGAATTAGACTTTAGTCATGCTTACACTCAACTAGAACTGCATCCAGATTCAAAAGTCTATACGACAATAAACACTCATAAAGGACTCTACCAATATGAAAGACTATGTTTTGGCATATCATCTAGCCCTGGAATTTTCCAAGCTGTCATGGACAGTATTTTTAAGGATATTCCAAATGTTTGTGTGTACTTTGACAATGTGTACATAACTGGTAAGAATGACACTGAACATCTTAAAACACTTGATAAAGTCTTGAAAATTGTTGGTGAAAAAGGTTTAAAGATAAACAAAGATAAATGTCAATTCATGTTGACAGAAATTAGTTTTCTTGGTTATATATTAAGCAAGCAAGGTATCAGACCTCAACCTGAGAAAACAAAAGCCATTAAAGAAGCCCCCAAACCTGAAAATACCCAACAACTAAGAGCTTTTTTGGGCTTGATAAATTACTATGCAAAGTTCATAGGGAATCTGTCTGGTAAACTATCACCACTGTACAAGCTGCTACAGAAAAATGCAACTTGGCACTGGGGTAAACAACAAGAAGCTGCTTTTAACACAGCAAAAGAGGCTTTGTCTGCTGACACCTTACTAACTCACTATGACCCAGGGAAAAGACTTATATTAACATGTGATGCTTCACCAGATGGTGTAGGAGCAGTCTTGTCCCACATGGATGAGAAGGGTGACAGACCCATTGCTTTTGCCAGTAGATCTTTGAACCAGGCTGAGAAAAATTATTCTCAGTTAGATAGGGAAGGCTTAGGCATCATTTTTGGTGTTAAGAAATTTCATAAGTTTCTGTTTGGTAGGAAGTTCACCATCTTTACAGATCATAAACCATTGCTAGGTTTATTTGGAGAAAACAAAACCCTACCTGAGCATGCCTCACCAAGAATTCAAAGATGGGCTATCACACTAACTGCATACAATTATGAATTGAAATACAAACCTGGATCTGAGAATAGTGCAGATAGTCTTAGTAGATTACCTTTAAAAAACCAAAGCCTGAGCTATGTACCAGAAGATGTTTTTTGTTCTCTTCACTATCATGGATAACTCCAATATAAATGTGAATGATATTAAGAGAGAAACACAAAAAGATGAGTGCTTAATAAAAGTATATGAGTACTGTAAGAATGGTTGGCCTGAAGAGTCAGTGAATGAGGACTTAAAGCCATATAAAATAAGAAAAACAGAGTTAAGTCTAGAAGATGGATGTATACTATGGGGGTCAAGAGTAATTATCCCCAAAATGTTACAAAAAGAAGTTTTAAGAACTTTACATGATACTCATCTTGGTTCTTCCAAAATGAAGAGTCTAGCAAGATCATGGTTCTGGTGGCCACATATGGATGCTGATATTGAAAAATATGTAAAACTTTGTTCAAGCTGTGCACAACATTCAAATCAACCAGCTACAGCACCTTTGCAAAACTGGGACTGGCCAATTGAACCATGGAAACGTATACATATAGATTTCGCAGGACCTTTCATGAACAAAATGTTCTTAATTGTTATTGATTCACATTCTAAATGGTTAGAAGTTAAAATCATGAACACAATCACTGCAAATGATACCATTATAGAACTTAAGGAAATATTTTCAACTCATGGATTACCAGATCAAATTGTTTCAGATAATGGGCCTAGTTTCACAGCTCATGAGTTTAAACTGTTTTGTGTGGCAAATGGTATTGAGCATATAACCACATCCCCCTATCATCCTGCTGGGAATGGTTTAGCTGAAAGAGCGGTAGGCATATTCAAAACCGCTATGGTAAAAATGAATACCGGTAACAAGTTTTCTCTTAGAGAAAGAGTAAACAGGTTCTTAACCAAATACCGCACAACTCCTCATATAACAACAGGTGTTGCACCATGTGAATTGCTATGTGGTAGGAAAATTAAAACTCATCTTGACCTACTACATCCAACTGTTCAAAGGTCTGTTTCCCAACATCAACATACACAAAAAGTAAATCATGACAAATCATCCATTGAAAGAGAATTTGCAGTTAATGATAATGTGTATCTAAGAAATTATGGGAGAAAGGAAAAATGGATTCCAGGTCAAATTGTTCAATGTACAGGACCTGTGTCTTATAAAGTAAAAACAAATGATGGACTTATTGTCCGTAAACATGCAGACCAGTTAAAAATAACTTGTGCAGATAATAAGGGTGAATCTGTCAATCCCACCAAGTCTGATCAGTTCACACCAACTCAGTTGTTCCACAACCAAGTTCTGTTGATATGAGTGAATCAAGTTGTCTAGAGTCAGAAAATGTAAATTCTGGAGTTAATGATTTAAATCCTAGACCTCCTGAGATAGAGAATCCAGATGGTCAGAATCTTGAGTCACCAAATCAGAAGCCACTGAGAAGGTCAAGCAGGACAATCAAAGTCCCAAATAAGTTAGACCTATGATTTTAAAGGTCAAAAGGACTTTGACATTATTGTTTTGTATTTTGATTATGTTGTAGCATATTGTGCATTGTTTGTAAGGATGTAATCTACCATAGTGTTCATGTTACAATATAATTGGTGATTTTAGGATACTATCAATTGTTCTATTGAGAGATGTGTTATTGTGTTCTAAGGGTAAAGGGATGTAATAGATTGAAATAATTGTGAGGTCAAGGGAACTCACTCTTCTGTATTAGTTATATTTATAATATTGTTATCTTGAGTGATGTCCCTTGTGTACTTCCTTCCGTCCTCTCTGTGTGTTACCATCGTGGTAGTTAGACTCAATTAAACGTGTTATATACAACCACAGGCTTCTGTCGTCAATCTATTATACCACCAAGTCTGATCAGTTCACACCAACTCAGTTTGTTCCACAACCAAGTTCTGTTGATATGAGTGAACCAAGTTGTCTGGAGTCAGAAAATGTAAATTCTGGAGTTAATGATTTAAATCCTAGAACTCCTGAGATAGAGAATCCAGATGGTCAGAATCTTGAGTCACCAAATCAGAAGCCACTGAGAAGGTCAAGCAGGACAATCAAAGTCCCAAATAAGTTAGACCTATGATTCTAAAGGTCAAAAGGACTTTGACATCATTGTTTTGTATCTTGATTATGTTGTGGCATGTTGTGCATTGTTTGTAAGGATGTAATCTACCATAATGTTCATGTTACAATATAATTGGTGATTTTAGGATACTATCAATTGTTCTATTGAGAGATGTGTTATTGTGTTCTAAGGGTAAAGGGATGTAATAGATTGAAATAATTGTGAGGTCAAGGGAACTCACTCTTCTGTATTAGTTATATTTATAATATTGTTATCTTGAGTGATGTCCCTTGTGTACTTCCTTCCGTCCTCTCTACGTGTTACCATTGAGGTAGTTAGACCCAAATAAATGTGTTATATACAACCACAGGCTTCTGTCGTCAATCTATTATAAAAAGAAACCGGACTTCCATTTTCTTTTTTATAAAAAGAAATATTAAAATTTTAAATTTTTTAGAGAGGAAAAAGGGCTCATATTTTCCTTTGGCCCTATGTCTTGCTTACGCTAGCTACGCCACTGCTATACACTAAACTGGTCCTAGAGACATGGACTACTGATGTTTTGCAGGTACTGCCGACCTTTGATACAAGGGCCCCACAATCCACCGCTGTCTGAGATAGCAGGCCTAGATATATCACACACACACGAATTGTAAAATAACTTTAGGTCTAACGGTTCAAGTAAATCTTTATGTTTACAGGCAACCCGGTCAGTAGTGTTTCTTTCAAACATTTTTCGGAGGGGGGGGGGGGGGGCTCAAAGACATGCCTGACGAAAAAGTATGAACGAAACAACTTCGTGCAGTGTTTTTACCGCCCCTCCCCCGAACGTAATAGAATTTATGGTATATATAAAATACATTCTTTTTCCAGTGTCCGCTCCCCAAGTGTTTCTTCCAGACTTTTTTCTCCAGGGGGACATTTGATATTTTCGGGGGGGGGGGGGGGTGTGGGGGCGGTCAACATTTTCCGGGGGGGGGGGTGGGGCGGACACTGGTAAAGGGGTCATCCATAAATGACGTCACACTTTTTTGACGATTTTTACCTCCCCTCCGTCACACGTCGTCACACCTCAGCCTACAACCCCTCTTAAAATTGCAGCTGCTTTTTTTTTAAACATCAATATTTTTCTAAAATCTTGTCTGAACTCTGTCAAAATAGAGTATTTTAATCAATTCCTATTACAGTTTATTAAAAGTTTTCTAAAACGCGAAATAACGTCCAAATTCGCTTCCTAACATTGCCTTTTTATAACGCACCATCTGAACCCTCCCCCCCCCATCACACACCGTCACAAAATTACGAACCTCCCCCCTCCCCCCTACGAGTGTGACGTCATTTAGGGACGACCCTAAAAGTATGTTTTCTATATAGATTCCATGTTGTTCGGGGGGGGGGGGGGGGCGGTAGACTTTCTTCGGGGGGGGGGGGCGGCGGACACTGTTAAAAGTATATATTTTCTATTTAAATTTCATTTCGTTCGGGGGGCGGTAGACTTTCTTCGGGGTGGTGCGCCCCCCCCCCCCCCCGAAGAAATGCATGGAAGAAACACTTAGTGAGATTGCTTCTAATACAAGTTCAACATTTTCTCTTTACCCTCTGGGGGAGTATTAGTGCTTTATACAGTTTTAAATGGATCTAGATCAATATTTAGTTTTAGTTTTATAATATACAACAATATGTATAAGTATAACCCTAAAATTCGCCGATATAAGCGAGTGCAGATAGTGGAACAGGAAAGCATGTTTATAAAATTAACCTATCGCTACACGCATAACAACTACAAAGAGCCAATAGAAACTATTCTAATAATTACAGCCGGCTCGGTCCACTTCCTGGCGATACCAAGCGTTGAACTTGGAGTCAAGACAACTGCATGTGACTTAAAAATAAAATATTAAAGCCTTAGACTAGACTCTCGAAACCCAACCAAATAACAGGTCAGTAAATTTGCCCCAGCCTTTGTGATTGTGTCCAAGAATTCTCCTTAGTTATGTAATAATAACATGGTTTAATCCATACACTTACACTACGACTACGAGTAGACTGGCTGATCTCAAGATGACGATTATTTTTAGATTCTAGAATCTCTAGATTCTAGATCTAGATTCTAGATCTATCTCACGGGTTCCCAAACTGGCGACCCCCAGGGGGATCGCAAAGGGCTTTCTGGGGGGGGGGGGGGGTCGCCACACTTGTAGACTAAACCTAAGCAAGGAAAAAAAAATATTAAGAAGAATATCTGAAAATGAAATAGAGAAGAAATAATGTAGATCTAAATGAGTACAGTCATTACAGTGCAAAGTTGTTCTTATGAACGAGTCTATAAAACCTTCAAAACTAAAACGTCATTTTGAGACGAGTTATTAGGAACACACCAAAAAAGATATGGAGTTCTTTCTTCAGCATGGAGTTAGTTGCAAATGTCAGATACTTAATCGAACATGAAGTTTTCACACAGCATTAGTCATCATCAGTGCAAGCATCATATGAAGGCGCATTAGAAATTGCCAAGCAAAAAAACCTCTCACACAACAGGAGAAAATCTCACCAAACCCTCAATGTTGAAGATGGTGAAATAAATTATTGGGAATTCCAGTGCACTAAAGATGCAAAAAATATTCCTGTAGCCTATAATAATTCTATTCATCTGCTTATAGCAGACATGTCTGTAGATGTTAAAGGATACATTTTAAATGAAATCAAGCTTTCACTATTGTTTGCTTTTCAAGATAATGAAATGAATCAACAGCCATGAATTTGTGTTCGCAGTTGCTTTCGACTCCATTGCTAATCCTAATGAAAGTCGTAAATTATATTAAATCTGGAGCCCTAAACACCCATCTGTTTAAAGAACTGTGCAAAGATATGATTTATGATTTATTGTGAGGTAAATACAAATTTGAAAAAGGAGATTTCTGGGCATCTTGAATCTCTTAGCATCTAACTGTGGCATTATCCCTGAGCTGAAGGAAGAAGAATCTGCATTGACACGTTACCCATCCTCTGCTTCCCTAGATGTTGTGAGCATTCCCAATGAATTACAAGATGGATTCTTAAATGTGCGAAATGATTCCGCGTCAGATAAAAAACTGTTCACTCACATTTGGTGTAGTATGCACCATTCATACCTAAGCGTGAAATTGATTGCCTTTCGAGTTTTAGTTCCTTTTGTGTCTTTGCGAGAATAGATTTTCAACACTTCTCCAATTTAAAACAAAACAAAGAAATAAATTAAATGTTAAGAATGACATGAGGTTAGCGTTAACAAAACCTCAACCTCGAAAATTGAGGCCACTTAATAGCATGCAGTTTTACTCATCGTATTAAAACAGTTATCAAGAATAATTGATATTGAAAGTCTACTAGAAAATCTGAAAGTCTACTAGAAAATCTTACTTTAGTGCTGATTAATTTCCTTACTAATTTTGACTTTTTTATTCTATGGGGGTCGCAAGTCTCTTAACTTTTATAAAAGGGGGTCGGCACTCGAAAAATTTTGGGAACCACTGTAATCTATCTAGATCTATTAGATCTCTAACTTTAGATCTATTCTAGATCTAAATTCTCTAGATCCAATCTAGTTTAAGTTCTAGATCTAGAATCTAGGTATGGATGATTTTAGATACCGATGTATAATAATAGACTCTTCTATGAAATAGGTGTGTTGTGTTGTTAGAAGTAATCTGGACAAGTTTTATGGTTAGAAATTATTATAGGATTAGCGGTTATTCGTATGATAAGACTAGTCTAGGGTTGGGTTTAGTTAATAGAATAGTTCGGGTTAGCATTGACGTTTGCAGCAACCTTACACCCCTTTTAAAAAAGATTCTATTATCAGACACTGTTATAAAAATTTCCCCTTTATTTTAATATTTAAAAAAGTTTAAGACATAGGCCTAATAAATACAAAATATTCCCAAATTAGGCCTGTATTTTTCAACCATGTCAACAATTATGATCGATCGTCCAGTCTCTCTAGAGTCACTCTAGACAAACGTTGCAGATGCAGATCCTGGCAAAACTAAACTTGATATTATGACACTATTGACACTACTAACAATTTAGTGTTTGCTATAACATATCTGAATAATTTTTTTTTTACAACATTTTGTCTAAGCATATGGATATGATTAAATTTAAGGTTGATATTTGTCTTGATCATGGTTAAAGTATTAAAAAAAATGTGTGTATTTTCTTATACAGCCTAACTCAGAAATTATTTTTGGAAGTTTTTAGGGCAAGGCATTTTAATAGTGAAGGTTAGGTCAGTTGAGATTAAATATGATTTTTAATTGAATGAATCAGTTTGAAATTAAGTGTACGAATTAACTAATTATTTATGTTTTTTAGGCTTATATATAAGGCCTACTACACTTTTTCCTAAATATAACTCAATATATTTGCTCCTTCATAAGCCAAATTGTTTTTGAAGTACCTCTAGAGTTTGATAATTTTCTCCAGGTACTTATATAATTAAATACCTGGCACAGCCTTACCTACCAACTGTTGATATGGTGAACTGGATAACATAAACCTTGCCTTATACTTATTCTGCCAATCATGATTGGCCTTATTCATAGACTGCGGATTTGGTTAAGCGAAGATAATATTTATCGGAATGTCTTGTAATTGTAAGAAGGGTTGTGATACATCTTCTTAGAGGTAAGTGTTGAGGGTCCAAATCTATTCAACTTGGTTTTTTTTTTAAAATGTGGGATTAATTGAAAATGGTGTCTTAATGCTTATATGTGATTCTTACACATATTTTATATTAGTTTCATGTCTTGCTCCAATTAATTATCACAATATTTAGTTGGTAATAGGTGAAATTGGATTTACCAGGTACATCTATTATCTCTTGGTGTGTAGGCCATCATTCAATAATTTTGTTCTCTTCTTATTGTCCTCTATAACCAGTTGTGAAAGAAAAATTTCCTAGAGCCATTGGTTTCACCAACTTTCACTTCCTCCATCTCCAGTATCACTTCACCTGGTTTGGGGTACACATGACTTTGGGTTATTTACATGAGCTCTACCACTAGACCACACACCACTGCTCCTTGTCTAATATTTACAGTGCAGAGAGAGTGTGGTAGCAGTTCACACTAAAAATACAATTTACAATCATTACCCCTACAATAAGTGACACAATAAATAATATTTCTTATAATTGTGGCACAGTTTAAATAAAAATGTGGATGGTTAAAATAACCCTTTAGTCACCTGGTATAAAACACACTTCACAGTTTGCATGGAAAAGTAGATTTAGATAAATGTAAACATGTGCTGTGTTTAGAGAGGGGGTGGGGTAGGTCTGTCTATAGCTATTTAAATATTCTTTCAGAAATGTTAAGAACACAGAACAAGTTGTATAAAATATATACATCATTACAAATAAGAAAAAGATTTGTTAATTACATATTTTTCAAAGAATAAGACAAAATGTCACACCTAGATCCGCCTGTGTGTACAAAAAATGCAATTGCTAAGATAACTATTTTCTGTCCCATTATAAATTTAAAACTAAATGATCCTTACATCATTATCATTTCTTGTTGTGTTGATCAAAAGGAGTACCTCTGTTTATCTGATCATCATAAAAGCTTGTATGTAAGGTCATAAATCCAGTTATTAGAAAATCCATGTTAAGAAATTCATATACCGACTAGCTTGAATAGCTGACTTCATTAAACTTTCTGCTTCGTACTTTACAATAAAGCTTAAGTGTTTTATATTTATTTTAATTATTTTTCTTTTAACCCCTCTTACCATGGTCTGCAAATGTAGGTCAATTATGAAGCTGGCACATTCCGGTTGAATTGACTAATGCCAGAACAGAAATAGCTTTTTTTTTTGCACCTGCTGCTTGAAAAATACCTACATATGAACTTTTTTCTCCTTGACTGCAGTTTGTTATATCTCTATATCTATCTATATATCTATATATATCTATATATCTATATATATATATATATATATATATATATTATATATATATATATATATATATATATATATATATATATATATATATATATATATATATATATATATATATATATATATGTATATATTATGTATGTATATATATGTATATATTATGTATGTATATATATGTATATAATATGAATGTATATATATGTATATAATATGAATGTATATATATGTATATAATATGAATGTATATATTATGTATGTATATATATGTATATATATGTATGTATATATTATGTATGTATATGTATGTATATATTATGTATGTATATGTATGTATATATTATGTATGTATATATATGTATATATATGTATGTATATATATGTATGTATATATATATGTATGTTGATAGATATAGATTGATTGATATACAGATAGATATAGATATATATATATATATAAATTGTAATTAGTTTTATTCCAACAAAAAATAAATTATATTTCTTTTTTATTTTAATTCTTTTCCTGTTTTAATACAGAGAAACTTAACTTGTAATTCAAAATTAAAAAAAATAATATTGTTAATAGCTGTCAGGTTATGAAACATATACCTGCTGGTTTGATGTATCAGGTTTCATAAAGCATGTAAAATCAATTATTTCACCAGCTGCCTAGTTATAAAACACTTGCTGGTAAATTCGGTATTCACCTTCTAGTTGATGCACTGAACACAGGGTATTGCAAACTGGGGTCTAGGACATTACCCTCCTAAACCTACCCATCAACTCTATAATTTAAGCTAACACTCAACCAAACCTCAAACCTAACCCTAACTATAGGCCTAATCTTACCTTAATGATAGTAATCCTAACCTTAAAAAAATAAGCAAAAGCCTAAACGTAAGCATTCACATCAGCCTAAATCTTAACCCAACTGTAGAGATAGGTCTAACCCTAACCCAACATTAACCCTAACACTTGCCATTACCTTAAGCTATGATGGGGGGGGGGGGGGGTAATGCCCTGTTCTCTGCAAACTGATTTGGAGCTTACCTTATCTTTGGGATAGTGCCACCCCCCTCATTAGAATATCTTTTTACTGATTGTTCTGATAATGAATTTAAACTAACTGTCAGTTTCAAAGTTCTTACCAATAGTGTTCATTTTATTTTTGTCCAAAGTGTATTTATACATGTTTAGATGATCTTAGAATAATTAAAACCAGCTCCCTGTTATTGATTGTCCCTGTAAGCTGAGCTAGTGACTTACTCTAACTGTGATGTAGGTAAATAGGGCTTGGAGCTAATGGATAGAAAATATTTAGTGCTGTAGTATTGGTGTTGCTCATTACTTTATTATTGTCACAGCTAATGGATCCCACCCCACCCCTCTAATTAGCACTTGTGGAAGTAACACAGGCTGAAAGCATACACATAAATGAACACAGCTATTTATAAGCACAGACTTAGATAGTAGTGGTGACAATAAAAATGAAATATTTCACTTGGCTGTAATAAAATGAATGAACCCAGTTACTATGATGTTACTATGTTAAATGAGCTCTAATTGTTTTCAGCTGTGGTTTGTGTCTAAAACATAGGACTGACATTGAATTCATCCAATCAGCACATTATACTCCCCAAACATTTGGCAGTACTTGCAGGAAACAAAGGTAAGTTGCAGTTTTATCTCACCCCAATGCTTGAAGCAGCTGTAAAAAGTTAAAAATTACATCAGTTTTCAAAGGCCTGCTTATATGGTGTTAAAGTTATATAAAGCTGCTGTTTCAAACCTGACTCTCAATATGGAAATAAAGAGAGTTCACCTGTTTCTGTCACGACAGTATGGGAAGGATAGTATGGTCATTTCTATCTTTACCAGTTTTATTTCCCTAACTTGAGTCGGGTACTCAAAATGGGCTAAGGGAAGTCCTTGGCACTAGTCCAAGATACAAACTAACGCTATGGGGTTAGAAGTCAAGTACTCATCTGCCATGTTGTCCCATCTGCTATATTAGCTTGCTAATGTTTTAATAAAGTTACCTTTTTGAATCTGGTTGTCGATTGGGCAGATGAAGTAGAGTTCATCTGCTTCTTTGAGATCGCTGCATATGAGTGGATAGTGTATCCGTGCTATGCCCAGCGACCTAATTTCCCTAACGACCTAATTTCCCTAACGTGAGTCAGCTACCCACTAGAGCTGGGTGGACTCTGGGACGCCCTACAGACACCAACCTGGGATACAAACACAAGACTTTTAGGTTAACAATTGAGTGCTCTATACCCAACCACGTTGTCACAATGTTATTGTTAACTTGTGAAATATTTATTTTTCACCAGTCAGTTTCAGCTGTATAGTTGCCCATCCCTTACAATTTCCCTCCTACATAAATAACTTGTTTGCTAGCAATCAGTATTTTATGTTGTTGTTTTTTTCTGCAAGTATTTTATTTGCTTTTGATGTTTAAATAATAATATTCCAATATGTGGGTAGTTAAGTCAAAATCTGTAGCTGCACATAGCTCTGTCAGTCTCTGGTAAATGATGATTTTTAGTTCATTTTCTTTTTTAGCATATAGTATAGGTTGGCTGCATCAAAAATACATGCCAGAAAGGTTTTTTTAAAATTTACTTTTACGGACTGTTGATTATTGTGTTTAACGGATTATTATGTTGTAACCCTTTCCAGGGGCGATTAAGCTTGAGCTGCTTAGTTATCCTTCGGTTGTTTTTTTTAATTGTTTTTTTTATTGGGGGGGGGGGAGGCGATGACTAGATAAATATATATTTTGAGAAAGTAGCCTAGGGTGCCATCCCTAGATCTCGTAGCTGTAGAAAAACACATTGAGAAATATTAAGAATAGAACAACTCATACCAAATACCAAAAATAGCACAAGTAAGCGAAATATGTGTTAACATTTTGACTGGCTCGCATTCCTCCCAAATATCCCTCTCCCATCACTAAAACGCCCAAACTGACGTTACAGTTTCATCTAGTCCCGTATTAAAAGCCAATGATTTGCCTGAAATATTTTTACTATCAATAAATACAAAATACAAGCTACGTTACATTTCTTGCACCTCCCCCCCTTCCTCCAAGCATTTTAACATATTAGTGTAAACATCCCTTCCCATCTAGAGCTGTGGTTCTCAACCTTTTTGGGGGTACCGAACCCCGCCAGTTTTATATGCGCATAGACCGAACCTTTCTTTACAGTTCTATTGTCCATAATCTGATGGGGAACCATATGAGTCGGACGTGTGTCTTGGCATGAGACCGACTCATTGAACCCCTGGGGTCCGATGGGATACAGGTTAAGAACCACTGCCCTAGATGCCTGATGTCATTGACGGACATGTAAGACACGGTGGACGGCCTTGCTTGCATGATCGGCTTATCTAGAGCAGGTTGACACTAGCACACCACCTGCTGAAAATTTAACGGCAGGTCTTACAAACAACTCCTTATCACACGTGTAGGTGATGACGATGTAACCAGGCAATACACAGTAAACATAACTTTATTGCGCTTTTGTTGTAGGCCGTCTACAGCGGAGCTTTACTTTTTAAAGGCATACAACCTTCGATCTAGCACTCTCTATAACTCTCTATATTAATATATTTAGTTAAGGGCAACAGTGCTAATTAGTTTAACATTTTAGTACTACTACAAATGGAATAGACAAAGTGGGATTTGTGTTATATCCCTATCTCATCCCCCGCTTCCACATTGAAGTTAAACAAATCATAAACTGTTCGAATGAGGGGGTGTGGGGTATTATTTGGATTCTTGCCCAAACGTGGTTAGCCCTCAATGGTGTATTATCGTGTCCCGATGTGTTTTGATCAAATCAATCGGCGTTCCTCGGTACTTATTAGTGCGCTAGTAGAGCGTGTCAAATCAATTTTTTTTGCTCGTACGTTTAGCTCAATTGTTGCCTTGACGGTGACACCGGCCTAAGATAGCACACCTACGACACCGCTGGCTTCCGCCGTTGCTAAATAACCACTCTCCTATTTTTACCTGAATAAAATTATCTCGCGTAAACATGGAAATGGAGATCTGCGTTATATCACAACAATGGAGTGTATGTGTTAGGCTATTGGTATTAAACTAAATATAAATTGACGTACTTGACAACCCTCTTTACTCCTTGTGGAGCATAGGGCCTCAACCATGACCTTCCATTTTGTCCGGTCCTCGGCTGTTAATTTTGCAATTTCCCAAGACATCCTTGTTGTCTTCAGTTATTAGTATAAATTGGTAATATCAGCACTAATCCACGTCCTACCATAGTCCTAAACCCTACTTTCTGACCGTACCATTAAACCTGAGATTACAAGTCAACTATCAACCTAGCATTTTTATTTAAAAAGTCTTATTATGGACATGGTTAATACCGGTACTGTACTAATCGTGGGGATTAAGATCTTGTGTTACAGACAGTTTCCTCTAGACCCCATGTAGGGAATTGACATTTTTTTTGTACACCGTATCTTCAAATTGCTGACAGAGGGTGTGTGGGGGAGGGGAGGGGGTGATAGCTGGAAACTCTGTGTGTGGTTTTCAAGGTTGTCAGCAACAGTCAATGATATGACATTGAAATGCGTAGTTCATGTTGTGTACATAGCTCCCGACAAAAGAAGTTACTAATCCAGTCCAAATCAAAACCTTGCGTAGACCTGTTTTAATCGGCGCGGTTACGCTGCACGAGCCGGGCGTTGTTGTTGGTAGGCCTTATTGTCGGGGGTCCCTTTTCTCGGAAGCTCTTTTATCGCGGGTCTTTAGTTTGCGCTTTGCCGCAGCGGGTTGTTCCAAGAGAATTTGTATTTAATGTAGTTTATAAATTGTTTCATAGAAAAGTAGTCATACGAAGACCCCCTCTGAAGACTTTAATACTCTATTGAGTGTAACTCCGACGGCGCCACGGAGGTATCGGCCCTAATAATACACTTGGTTTGCATGTATACATTGCTTAGCTTGTATTGCTGATACTTAAGTATTTATGCAGATATTGCAGTTGTGTTTAGTCCTCGTATTGATTAAATTTTTACCTCGCGAAGATACGAGATTTTTATTTTATTTTCACCACTCAAAGCGGGCAGTAAAACACATCACCCACATTTATATTTGTTGTCTTAACTTGGGTATGACTTTAATAGTCTTTGTTTTATTGACCAGCCACCTTCTGCTAAAGAAGCTCGGCTTGGAAGATAATTATTCTCTTGCTTAGGGTGAAGCCAGGTGTATCGACCAGACTCACGCGCGTACGACCAGGCCTGGCGCGCGCGTACAGGTAGATTGGGTAGGCAGGTATACCAGCTTTTGTAGCCTGGATGATGGATGCTCGCCTAATCTAAGGAATCAGCACACTTGGTGCAGGGGTTTGTGTCAGGCTCACTAGAGCCTGCACTGATTGATGTTTGAATAGAGCTGTCTTGGTGAATGAAGTAAACTGTCTTGATACCAAACTCTTGTGATATTTATAATACGCGGTCTTGGTACTTCGAGTAATAAAGTAAACTGTGGATGATTGAAGTAAGATGTGTTTTTACTGAAATCAAGCTGTCTTATGCCTTAAAGCAAGTTCTTTTGTGACTTCAATCAAGCTGTTTTGTGTCTAAAATATTGCTGTTTTATGACTTTAAACAAGCTGTTTTGTGACTTAAGTATAGCTGTTTTGTGAAACATAGCTGCTTTGTGACTTAAACATAGCTGTTTCCTGACAAACACAGCTATTTTGTGACTTAAACAGCTGTTTCCTGACAAACATAGCTATTTTGTGACTGAACAGCTGTTTTGTGACTTAAACATAGCTATTTTGTGACTAAACATAGCTGTTTTGTGACGTAAACATAGCTGTTTCCTGACAAACATAGCTATTTAGTGACTAAACATAGCTGTTTAGCGTGCTTATATGCGTTAGGCCTCTATCTGACCACCGTTTTGTTGTCATATTTCTCAGTCAGCTGGTGATGAATACCAAAAGTAAAACATGTGTCAATAAGTAACAAACCTGATGTGTGTATTGTAAAGGGGTGGGGGGGGGGGGTTAAGGGGGGGGGGAGGAGGAGATGGGGCCGTACAAAACTTCTTTTGTGCCCTACAGTCGATAAATTAATGTCACCAATAAATGTCTGGTAAATAAAACACGTTTGGCTGATCTTCACATGGTACATCCCTTTCATGTTGATACACACGTTTCATCGGTCCATCACCGCTCTTTTCAAATGTTTTCGCTAATGTATGTGCTGTATGGTTTAGTGTGCTACTGAGAAACGCTTGTGGTTTGAGCAAGTAGTGGTTTTATCAGCGTTTGTCAGCAGTCGTGTTTTTGTCAGCAGTTGTCAACAGTCGTGTTTTTGTCTGTTTTTGTCAGCAGTAGTGTTTTTGTCTGTTTTTGTCAGCAGTAGTGTTTTTGTCTGTTTTTGTCAGCAGTAGTGTTTTTGTCAGCAGTCGTGTTTTTGTCTGTTTTTGTCAGCAGTAGTGTTTTTGTCAGCAGTAGTGTTTTTGTCTGTTTTTGTCAGCAGTAGTGTTTTGTCAGCGTTTGTTAGCAGTAGTGTTTTTGTCAGCGTTTGTTAGCAGTAGTGTTTTTGTCAGCAGTAGTGTTTTTGTCAGCGTTTGTTAGCAGTAGTGTTTTTGTCAGCGTTTGTTAGCAGTAGTGTTTTTGTCAGCTTTTGTTAGCCGTAGTGTTTTTGTCAGCATTTGTCAGCAGTAGTGTTTTTGTCAGCCGTAGTGTTTTTGTCAGCAGTAGTGTTTTTGTCAGCAGTAGTGTTTTTGTCAGCTTTTGTCAGCAGTAGTGTTTTTGTCAGCTTTTGTTAGCAGTAGTGTTTTTGTCAGCGTTTGTTAGCAGTAGTGTTTTTGTCAGCAGTAGTGTTTTTGTCAGCAGTAGTGTTTTTGTCAGCTTTTGTCAGCAGTAGTGTTTTTGTCAGCTTTTGTCAGCAGTAGTGTTTTTGTCAGCTTTTGTTAGCAGTAGTGTTTTTGTCAGCGTTTGTAAGCAGTGGTGTTTTTGTCAACAGTAGTGTTTTTGTCAGATTTTGTCAACAGTAGTGTTTTTGTCAGCGTTTGTTAGCAGTAGTGTTTTTGTCAGCAGTAGTGTTTTTGTCAGCAGTAGTGTTTTTGTCAGATTTTGTCAGCAGTAGTGTTTTTGTCAGCGTTTGTTAGCAGTAGTGTTTTTTGTCAGCGTTTGTCAGCAGTAGTGTTTTTGTCAGATTTTGTCAGCAGTAGTGGTTTTGTCAGTGTGTGTTTGCAGTTTTCTCTTACTCCTCTCAATGAATGTCTAAATTGGAGAATCATACAATTCTACCAACACGGCAGACGAACCGTAGAGTCGTCTCCATCTCAGCGAACTCCCAATGCCCATTTTTCTCTGAGTGGGGTGTTTTTGGGACGAGAGACTATACAGTGTATTTTGATACAAGGTGCTGTCTTGTAAAACATGTTCGCTGTTTTCACGGACCAAACCAAAATGGCATATCTCGCTGGGACCAACTTTTTAAATTTTTGATTTTAGAAACACGTGGTTTCATCCTGGTGTAACCTGTGTTTTGGGACGAAGACGTGGTTCTAGTGCAACTTCGAGGCTAGAGAAAACTTTGGTTGCCATACAGTAGTATTTTCGAACAAACGTCTTACAGTGGGCCTCATGACTAGCATGTCAACGTGTAAGATAAGACAATTTGTAATAGCAAGACATGAGTGCACGTTGACACCATACAGTAAGTTGTGACCACATACACATCAGATAACACGACACAACACGATTGTTTAAAAATATTAACATACACTATATTTGCTATCTAGCCTTTGATAGGCGAGGCCACGAATCTTTATTGTATACGGTGTCTTCTAAGCGTTGCGCCATATAAACGGTACATTTGAAGTAGCGTGAAATGTATATTATTTTAAACGTTTGAGTACGTGTTTGTTTTCTTTAGACTGGGGGAGGTTGCTAACGGATCTATAGAAAGCCAGTGGGGTGTGGGGGGGGGGGGGGGGGGGGGTCGGACGTGACCTGAGTTCTGCACCATTGCCACCGTCTTTAGCCATTACTTCAAGTGGCACCTTTGTCTTGCGTTGGCACAGCCAGGTTTATGCATTTTGAATGCAAAGTGCGTGATTTGATCAATCTATGTTGTCGAAGAATCACCAGCCAATTAGCCCCAGTGTTTATAATTGATTTGTTCCTTGTTGAATGGGATACGTTTAGACTTGCAGGCCCTATGTCTTTAGGTTCGACTGGATAAAGCAGCCAGTTTTGGCCACAGACACACGATAATCACACACCTTCTAATCCGATTACTGCCCTCATAATCGCCCCACTGTCGTGGTAATACGATTTGAAAATGTGCAAACACATAACCATTGTTGTATCTATCCATAGACTTGTCAGCGTGAGCGCTAATGTTCTGGCATGCTTTACTGTATAGGCCGGTTTTTGTTTAGGTTAGGTGTGTATTGGTGTCATCGATACTAGCAATACGAATATGAAGCCAAGCATAAACGATGTCACTGCATTAGAGTCAATTCGCCCAGCTCAAAAAGCCACCCCCCACCCCATAAAATACGTCGCGGACAATCATCGTTGTCCAATAGCCATAATTCTAACGATAGTTCACTTTTATTTCATCCGTTTCTCAAATGATAAAGATCGTGATAGAACGTAACAAAATCCCCCCCCCCCCCTTTCCTTCGTGGCGTGTGACGTCATATAGAGTCACCTACGTAGGTCCACTTTAAGATGAGTACCAACACTTGAACCCCATGGTCGACAACAGAAACCACATGCTGTTTTATTAGTATACATTTTACTTTCAACTTCCTACATCAGTTCATGAACTCGGACTGCATATGTTGTCGGCATAGTGAAATCTTTCGGCCGTATTGGCTAGACCGTATGTGTATGTTGGCCCCCAGCAAGCCGTATTGCCATTAGCTTATGTTGTCGGTTGAGTAAAATCTTTCGGCCATATAGGCTAGACCGTATGTGTATGTTGGCCCCCAGCAACCCGTATTGCCATTAGCTTATGTTGTCGGATAAAATCTTTCGGCCATATTGGCTAGACCGTATGTGTATGTTGGCCCCCAGCAACCCGTATTGCCATTAGCTTATGTTGTCGGATAAAATCTTTCGGCCATATTGGCTTGACCGTATGTGTATGTTGGCCCCCAGCAACCCGTTTTGCCATTAGTTTATGTTGTCGGTTGAGTAAAATCTTTCGGCCATATTTGCTGTACCGTATGTGTATGTTGGCCCCCAGCGAGCCGTATTGCCATTAGCTTATGTTGTCGGTTGAGTAAAATCTTTCAGCTAGACCGTATGTGTATGTTGGCCCCCAGCAAGCCGTATTGCCATTAGCTTATGTTGTCGGTTGAGTAAAATCTTTCGGCCATATTTGCTGTACCGTATGTGTATGTTGGCCCCCAGCGAGCCGTATTGCCATTAGCTTATGTTGTCGGTTGAGTAAAATCTTTCGGCCATATTTGCTGTACCGTATGTGTATGTTGGCCCCCAGCAACCCGTATTGCCATTAGTTTATGTTGTCGGTTGAGTAAAATCTTTCGGCCATATTTGCTGTACCGTATGTGTATGTTGGCCCCCAGCAAGCCGTATTGCCATTAGTTTATGTTGTCGGTTGAGTAAAATCTTTCGGCTGTACCGTATGTGTATGTTGGCCCCCAGCAAGCCGTATTGCCATTAGCCTATTAGACACGAGCATAGTTTGGGGGCGGGTCGCGCGGCTTGTTATCGGTATATAAAACATTGAACCGCTTGCCGGTGTGATTTGGTGCGCTATCTCAAGCTGGTAAGTCGATCGGTGAAAACATTACAGGTAGGTCAAGTCGGGCTTTTATTGGATAGGCATTGGGGATCTAATGCGCTGATGGTGTAGGCATCATTAGTCCAACAGCTGGTGCGTAATTAGCATTTAATTTTTTTCAAAATTCGCGTCGTCCTCACGTGGTTATTAACATAGTGGTATACACGACTGATTGAACTGATCGGGCAAGGCTTTAATTATTTATTTCTCTGGTGTATGGTCAGATTATTACTAGAGGGTTATGTTTTTAAAGGTTTCTTGTGATTTTAATTAGCTGGGAATTTCCGTTTTCAGGTAGGGGTGTATCGATGTTAATTATTTACCAGAAGTATCGGTGAAAAGATTGTATTGTCGTAGAGAACAGTGCTGTTCACTGTTGTAAATAGTGCTACATTCACTGTGGTTGTGTTGGTGAGATAAGACGATGAAATGATCTTGTTATTTTCAGGTCGGTGAAACTTAAAAAATATTTGGAAAAAAAAACTTGCAGTCATGTCTTCAAACGGTCCCCATATAAATGGTTATAACGGTATAAAGGACAGCACGCCGGTGGCCGGTCATATTCTCGTCACAGGGGGAGCTGGCTACATCGGGTCTACCTTAGTGCCTATGTTGTTGGATAAGGGATATGAGGTGAGTCTCTCTTTGATCTTGTGCTTGTATGGGGAGATGGATGACTTGGCTGAACTAGGTTTTACAGCCATGTGACTGGTAGTAGAGACACAGATAAAATGTACTTTAGCCTCTATTGTGGGAGCTGAAATCTGGTTTAGTAGCCTACAGTAGGGAGAGATAGTGGATTGTTCATGGTTACACACATGTTGAATGTCTAATTAGATTTTAAAAAAGTTAATTGATAAAATACTAATTGCTTTCTTTTGTAGGTCACAGTGTACGACCTTTTTTTGTGGGGCATCAGCCCATTGCTGCCAGTGGCAGAGAACCCCAGACTTCACATCATCAAAGGTGACATACTGGACAAGGACAAGCTGGCGGAGGTGATGGAAGGTAAGACAGGCATCATCCACCTGGCAGCCATTGTAGGCTACCCCGCCTGCGACAAGGACAAGGACAAGGCCCAGCAGGTGAACGTGGAAGGCACCAGGAACATCACGGACCTGAAGAAACCCCACCAGGCCCTGGTCTACGCCAGCACCGGTTCCTGCTACGGCGCCGTGGACGGGGTCTGCACAGAGGAGACAAAGATCAGCCCCCTGTCCTTGTACGGCAGCAGTAAAGCTGGGGGGGAGGAGCTTGTCTTGAACAGCAACGGCACCGCCTTAAGACTGGCAACTGTGTTTGGTATCTCCCCCCGCATGAGACTGGACCTCCTGGTCAACGACCTGACATACAGGGCGCTCACCATCAAGAGATTTGACCTGTACGAAGGCCATTTCAGACGCACGTTCCTTCATGTTCGGGATGCTGCACGCGCTTTCCTGTTTGCCATAGAAAACACCAAAGTCATGTCAGGCCATGCGTACAACGTTGGGGATGAGAAGATGAACTTGACAAAGAACGAGGTGGCCCAGGTCATACAGAACAAAATCCCTGACTGCCAGATTGTCTGCTCCACAGACGGAGAAGACAAAGACAAACGTGATTACGAGGTCAGCTATGAGAAGATTCGCAAGCTTGGTTTCCGGTCCACGATCACTGTGGACGAAGGTGTTGTACATTTACTCAAAGTCTTGCCCAACATGCTGGACATTGAGTTACAAAGAAGCAAAAATGTCTAGTAGTTACTCATTTCTCTCATGGGTCTAAAGGGGGTGGGGGGGTGGTATTTATATTTGTCTTGGAGACAAGTTGTTTACCAGGGACAGCTTAAACCACCAAAAGTTGGAATTTGAAGATGTAACTAAAAATATTTTTTAAAAAGTACAATTTTATACAGAGGTATCGAGACAAAATGACTAAAAAAAGATGCTATGAGTCTCAGGTTTCTGAAATGAAAATAAAAACATGGCCAGGGATCTAGTGTGATTTGGTGACCAGTAGACATTTTTTTTTTAAAATGTGAATTTGAACCTTTTCTTAAATACATTCCTGCTTTATAGACATCTTTAGTGTTCTCCCATGCTTTGTGTTCTGTTATTTGTCTTTGCCACCTTTTTTTTGGATACATAATTTAGAATGGGCTTTGTAACAAATAAAACTAAAAGTAAATATTAATTGTTACGAATAATGTCTAGTTTTCTAAAATTTGAAACCTGTGTTTGTCGCGTTCCAATATTCAGGATTAAATGCAACACTTTTGACACTTCTGTTCAAAATTTAGGGATAAATTTGAAGTTCAGATGTTAAAAGTGATAAACTTCAATACCCAATGTGTAAGAGTGTCCCTTGATGGGGGTTTAAGCTGTCCTTGAAACTTGATGTGTATACTTTGTGGTTGATTCCACTTGTCATTGTAATTATGACCATTAGAACTTGAAAAAATGTTGACACATAAATCTCAAAGCTTTGAACCAATCAGCTATTGTATAGCATAATACTGGATGTTATTTTACTGTTTTCTATGAGACATAAGGCCATTTACTCATCTCTCTGATTTGCACAGTTCTGTACTGTTTAATTAATTGATGTTACCTTTCTGATGCCTCCAAGACTCACAATTTTCTTGCTGACTTCTAAAAATGTTCCCATCTGTTTTTGCTGGACAAATTTAACCCTTAATGGCCTTGTTTTTAGGTTTTCTACATAGATCTTGGGACTTAGGGAGGGGGGAGGGGGTAAGGTAGGATCTTTAGTTCTGTGCTCCTAGATTTCAATTTTTCTGTTCTGTTCAACAGCACATGTGACATTGGAATTGAATTCTTAGAATGTAACCAATAGCAGATGTTTTTATTTCCCCGCACATATCTCAGCAATGTAAAGGCTTGAAGTTCTCATGGCTGCGTCTCTCTATTTGTTCATTGTGATCCAAATTCATTCACTACTACTATGTGAATAGTTATTCTAGAGTAAAAAACATTCAAGAGTTTTAAACGTAAACTTTCTGAATTTTTTTTTTTAACAAGTGTCAATTTTCTTAATTTAAAATTAATTTGGTTTCACAACTTTTTTCATTGCTTATACATTGGTATGGCCCGGCCATTTTTTTCTCTTCTCCTATGCATCAGGTGTATTGTAAGTGGTTAGTGATTTAGATTTACTTTACATTATTTTAGTAGTCATGGTTTCCAGTTTGGGCTCATTGTACGACCAATCTGGTGATTATATATTTACAAAAATGTCATTTTTTAAAATTAAGCTTCATACTGTTATAAATAGAACAGGGGAAAAGGATGTTTAACTACGTCACCTTGGTTTATTTTTATTTTTAGCTTGCTTTTTTTTAGGGAATTGCGTTAGAATGTCAATGCTCATGTATTTAATGGTACTTTTTGATATCCTAATTGTTGGGATTTATGTTTAAGGTTTAGATTATTTTATAATGAGGTAGAGGAAATAAAAACTATTAAAAATGCCAACTTTTGTAGAGAAGTGTTGACTCTCTAAGCTAATCTGAAAGGAATAATAATAGCAATAAATGTGTTGATTTTTTTTTTTACATTGATATGTACTTATGTATTGTTTTCTTGATAAAACTTGCATTATTTTGAATGTATCAATACTTGATTGTGTCAACCATATCTGTTTACTCTTAGCTTTTTATATTTTGAAGTTTTTATTGATAACATTTTTTATTTTATTTTATGTTAGATGTGTCCGTATTTGAATATGTCAAGCATATCTTTTTACTGTAAGTTTTACAAGTAGTGATGAAAAAATATTTGTATTGAGTGATGTGTAATATGCACATAGTCTTGGCACAAATCCACACAGCAAGTTGATGTTTTAAGACATGGAATACTGATTTAGATATGTGATTGTAGATCCAACATTCACTGAATGATGCAACATTCAGTGGATGTTTGCTATATGCAACAGGCAGTGATATGCTGTACAGAGGCTTTGAAACCAGATCTTGGTTTGAATGCTAGGCTGATCAGTATTTAAAAAATTTGATAACAGGTTTTTTTTTAATTTAAAAAACATTTATCTGAAAAAAATATATCTTTTTTTATATGAAATAATTTACAGACTTGATACATTCCTATAATTTCTTTAAAAAAAAAACAAGTTTAATTTATGTTGTATATTAATTAGTTTAAATTATAATTTTATCATGATCTATGAACGTCAGAAGGCCTTATGATTTTGTATGTAAAGTGCTCAGGAAGTTTGCTTCATTTTTTTTTGTATGGAGATATTTAATGTACAAATGAAAATTTATTTCATAATTTTTATTTAGGATTGAGCGTGTTTGATTTTTAAAAATTGTAACCAATGGTTGATTATTTCATTGTATGATCTAGCGCGTCAGTCAGCGAGGTGAACTGTGATGACCTGTGTGCTCATTAAAAATTAACTGGCTTATTTTAAACACGTGGGTAATGGACTGGCATCGTTATAAAGGCAATATACAATCCTGCTTGATTTATTTTATTACTGGTACAAGTGTTTACTTTTTATTTTTTGTTGTAAACATTTTTGTTGTTACTAATCACGAACATATCATTTGTGTGGAGGCATGTAGCACCTACTATGGGGTAAGATTCTCGTCGTATAGATATCATACACAGCAATAAGGCAAATAGCCCCATCTACCTTGTAACATAGATAAATGCATCTACCCTACACTGACCCAAAGATAGCCACATTCACACTGTCACAAAGATAGCCACATTCACACTGTCACAAAGATAGCCACATTCACACTGACCCAAAGATAGCCACACTCACACTGACCCAAAGATAGCCACATTCACACTGTCCCAAAAATAGCCACATTCACACTGTCACAAAGATAACCACATTCACACAGACCCAAAGATAACCACATTCACACTGTCACAAAGATAGCCACATTCACACTGTCACAAAGATAGCCACATTCACACTGACCCAAAGATAGCCACACTCACACTGACCCAAAGATAGCCACATTCACACTGACTCAAAGATAGCCACATTCACACTGACCCAAAGATAGCCACATTCACACTGACTCAAAGATAGCCACATTCACACTGACTCAAAGATAGCCACATTCACACTGACCCAAAGATAGCCACATTCACACTGTCACAAAGATAGCCACATTCACACTGTCCCAAATATAGCCACATTCACACTGTCTCCCAAATATAGCCACATTCACACTGACCCAAAGATAGCCACATTCACACTGTCACAAAGATAGCCACATTCACACTGTCCCAAATATAGCCACATTCACACTGTCACAAAGATAGCCACATTCACACTGACCCAAAGATAGCCACATTCACACTGTCTCCCAAATATAGCCACATTCACACTGACCCAAAGATAGCCACATTCACACTGTCACAAAGATAGCCACACTCACACTGACCCAAAGATAGCCACACTCACACTGACCCAAAGATAGCCACACTCACACTGACCCAAAGATAGCCACATTCACACTGACCCAAAGATAGCCACATTCACACTGACCCAAAGATTTGCCATATCCCAACTAATGCCAGCATCATGACCAAAGCTCATCTTAAAGATACCCCAGAAATCTTAAGAATACATAAATAGCTTGGCACCTTTCCACTTATCCCCTCTTCCACAAGGCACCATCTCTTGACATTGTGACACTCAAATTGTGAAGACCAGAACAAAAGACCTCAGCCTGTCTATGACAATCTTACTTAGCCATTCATGTTAGATTACTGTGACTTTATATTAATCTCACCCAATATTTCAAAGAACTCTCGATTTATAATCAAAAACTCTTTTACGCCTTGTTTCTCTATTGAGTACTTGATGTTTATGCTTTGAATTTTTTGTTTTTTTCTCTTTTATTGTTTCTATTGATTTTTTTGTTTGTTGTTGTTGACTACAGTACACCCAGTGTCTGCACTATAATTATTTTTAAGACTTGAGTGAGCCCTGAATTTTATGGCATTAATAATGTGTCTGTCAACATTAATCTGATTGGGTCTTTGTTAAACAGAAGTTTGTCATACTATTCTGATTGTGTTAAACAGTTGTCTGTCAATACTATTCCAATTGGGTCTGGGTTAAACATAGAAGTCTGTCAATACTATTCCAATTGGGTCTGGGTTAAACAGAAGTCTGTCAATACTATTCCAATTGGGTCTGGGTTAAACATAGAAGTCTGTCAATACTATTCCAATTGGGTCTGGGTTAAACATAGAAGTCTGTCAATACTATTCCAATTGGGTCTGGGTTAAACATAGAAGTCTGTCAATACTATTCCAATTGGGTCTGGGTAAGTCTGTCAATACTATTCCAATTGGGTCTGGGTTAAACATAGAAGTCTGTCAATACTATTCCAATTGGGTCTGGGTAAGTCTGTCAATACTATTCCAATTGGGTCTGGGTTAAACATAGAAGTCTGTCAATACTATTCCAATTGGGTTTGGGTTAAACATTGAAGTCTGTCAGTACTATTCCAATTGGGTTTATGTTTAAGATAAACCAGTCCAGTAATGTGTAGTGTAAACTAAGGTCAGGATACAACATGGAGCTCAGTAGTTGACAAGTACATAGTAGCTTGCCTGTAGTTGAATTTAAAAAAAAATTGTTTTATTGATGATAAGTTAAAAGGATACTGAGATAAAAATGCATTAACAATTATAAGTAAAAGTCACAAGAAATGTTTGAAACTTGTTTTCTTCAGAAAAGCATAAAGACAATGCTTACTTATACTCAAAATCAAAAGTTGTTCTAAATTTTGAAATTATTTTTTTATTAAAAAAAACTTCACTACATAAAAAAAATATTCACATTTTTTTAGTTTCCTATAGTTGGTTTATGTATTTATTATACAGATCTTCACTGTGTAAGCAAGTTGGCAATAGGTACCCAGTCCAATACCTTGTGTTACTACAGTCCATACCTTGTGTTACTACAGTCAAATACCTTGTGTTACTACAGTCCAATACCTTGTGTTACTACAGTCCAATACCTTGTGTTACTACAGTCCAATACCTTGTGTTACTACAGTCCATACCTTGTGTTACTACAGTCCAATACCTTGTGTTACTACAGTCCAATACCTTGTGTTACTACAGTCAAATACCTTGTGTTACTACAGTCCATACCTTGTGTTACTACAGTCCATACCTTGTGTTACTACAGTCCATACCTTGTGTTACTACAGTCCAATACCTTGTGTTACTACAGTCCATACCTTGTGTTACTACAGTCCAATACCTTGTGTTACTACAGTCCAATACCTTGTGTTACTACAGTCCATACCTTGTGTTACTACAGTCCATACCTTGTGTTACTACAGTCCATACCTTGTGTTACTACAGTCCATACCTTGTGTTACTACAGTCCATACCTTGTGTTACTACAGTCAAATACCTTGTGTTACTACAGTCAAATACCTTGTGTTACTACAGTCAAATACCTTGTGTTACTACAGTCCATACCTTGTGTTACTACAGTCAAATACCTTGTGTTACTACAGTCCGTACCTTGTGTTACTACAGTCCATACCTTGTGTTACTACAGTCCCATGTCATGTCTGTCAAAATAGAATGTCCCGTTTTGTTGCCGAGTCAAGTTTTTGAAAAGTAGCTTTAAGTGAAACATGTCTAGTCACACAATCTTATCTCATCTGTTTGCAGATGGTTGTAATTATATTGGAAGATTTGGACTATAGTCCAGTGAAAATTGTATTGAATTTTGATGCAGATTAAATGTAATCTAGATGTATGATTTAGATTGATTTAAAGCATACTGGGCTGAAGATTTGGACTGATCTAAAGCAAACTAGACAAGATTTTGACAGATTTAGTACATACTGTGCTTAAGATTTATACTAGGCAGTCATGTAAATTGGACATGTAGAGTTATATTGCCACTACAATTTGAGACAAATGTTGAATGTTTGCTAACCTTGGAATGTTGTTTTTTATTCTTACTATGTGCCACAACTTCTCTTTCACCAGTGTTTCTTGAACTTATCTCTTGTGTGATAACTGTTTTAATTGTATGTTGTGTGATGAACACTTGATTGCAAGGTTTTATCTCTTGTGTGATGAACCCTTAATATGGTTTTGTCAATGGTGTGATGAACTCTTGATTGCAAGGTTTTGTCTATTGTGTGATGAACCCTTAATATGGTTTTGTCAATGGTGTGAAGAACTCTTGATTGCAAGGTTTTGTCTATTGTGTGATGAACACTTGATTGCATCGTTTTGTCTCTCAAAATAAACAAACATTAGACAAATCGTATCCTCCAGTGTGAACACATTCTCTAAGCCTGAGCTCAGGGTGACGAAGCTTTGTAAATTGTTTTTGTAGTCAGAAATCTTTACCTATTTTGTTTTGGACCATACTTTGTTGTGGCTAAAACGAAATGGACTTACTTTTTGACCATACTTTGTAATCCAGTAAACAGGTTGACAATACTGTGTATATGTACAACAAGCTGATTATGCATTATAGCAAACTAATTTGATACAGAATTAACTTCATGTGCCAAGGAATTGGGCATTAAAATCCTGACATTGTTTAGCCCTATTTTATTCCCTCTGAAAGTCCTGACATTGTCTGACCATTTTTATACCATTTTGTTTTCTGAATACATAACAACAGTTTCTGTTGTATTTTTCAATGGAAAATGTTTCAATGCGGGCATTCACAGCACTGGTCAGTGAGATTTTCAGTGCATTGTTCTGTGTGTGTGTGTACAGCTTGCATTGTGTAGTAGGTCATGTGACATTTGCTCATCATGTGATATCTTATTGTGTGCTGTATACCATCATTGTCACCATTCTTTATTTTTCTAATAAATAAATAGAGCTGTTTAAAGCGCACCCTAGCACATGAATTATTTGTTTTTATTTTTATTTATCTGGCACGAAGAAAATACGATTGCTCTGCATTATATATATATATATATATATATATATATATATATATATATATATATATATATATATATATATATATATATATATATATATATATATGTATATATATATATATGTATATATATACACACACATAAATAATATATATATATATATTATATATATATATATAATGCATATATATATATGTATATATATATGTATATATACACACATAAATTATATATATATATATAATGCATTTATATATGTATATATATACATTACCCCATCCCACCCCTTCAGTATCCCCCAGTTGTCGGGTGGTGTCTTTATCCAGTCGTTAAATAAGCTTACACGCTGGCTTAAAAAGCTGACGTCATATATAGGCTAACACAATAGGGCAACATTATATTCTATGACAACCTCCCCCCACCCCCTACCCCGTCCCAAACATACAGCTGTTGTTGTTATTTTTACAGCTTTATAGATCTCTGTTTTTTTAATGATTTAATTTTAACATATCCAACCCGCATGTTCAATCGAAAAAACAATAACAACA